AGAATATATAATAATTGAGTTTTCTGCAATAAGGGCCACTGGATTTAACTTAACTGTTTTTTTCATTTCTCTAATTCTACACAATTTTCTATTCGTTTGAATGCTTAAATTTTTTACCGTATGTAGTTAGTTCACACAAAACAAATAAACGTCAGTGTGACTTTCATTTCTTACGCCTCCCTCAGTTATTAGTACGTTGTAATGGAAAACCTTAGGACACGTATTGAAACGTTCGCGACAATGGTACATGATTAACCTCTTGGCGATAATCAATTATTCTCCCCAAAAAAAAGGCGATAACCGTGGCGACAGTCGCCTTATATTATTATATTACCCCACAGGTTAAATTCTCGGCCACTATTGAAAAGTATAGTTTCTTTCACTACGTGCTTTAAAATTTGAAAATTACGTCTTAAAGTAATACAATATAATAATGAAATTTAAGGAATAGCGTTTAAATTTGCAGAAGATCATTTATATTCTTTCTTCTGGACCTTGTATAAAATAATACTTTCAAATTTTAAATCACGTGATATATCAATATAAAAGTACATTTAACACAAAGAAAAATAATAGAATTTAAAAACGAAAATTGAAATATAACCCTTAAACATGAAAAAAATGGTCTTTATTTCTTTTTCCCTTATTTTTCTGTCTGTAAACTATGTGATAAACCCGGCAAATTTTGAACAATTATTCAGGCCTTAAATACCTAAAAATTTGTGTATGATCGTATTCAATGCTATCGATGTATTCATCCTCGATTTTAATACCTGATACGTAAGTACGACTTCATTGCCTCTTCTTTCATTCAATAATACAAAATCTTTGCAACGCTAATAAAATTTGCTACTGTCATTTTAGTACAACAACTCTTTATTTGCTTTTAAAAGATACGGCAACACCCTTTTCTAACAATACCTACTTTTTTAACGAACATAAGAAATCGAATATGGCGGACGTCTTTCTGTATAAGTGAACAGATTTTCAGTGTGTCTAAAAAAGGTCGTGATTATAAAATAAAATAGTTAAATTACTTAAGAACGTTTAACATTTTGTTTTGTGCTGACGTTTTGTCGTAAGTGTAGTGGGCCAAATTAAAAACTTTGGAAGATAGAGAAACAGTAAATATAAATGAGAAAGAGAGTTATCAGAACTTTGCGACAACCAAGGTTTTTTATACACATACTATTGGAAAAGGGATACATATAGCTGCTGTGGCTGATTTCTCTAGGCGTCAAATAAATTATATGTATTATATTATACTGGACTATAACCATTACCTATAAGAATAAAATAAGAATTCGACAAGTGTTGTAATAAAACATATTAAAAAACCCGTACAATTTTAGCCAAAGCAAAAAAAAGGCTTGTGTGTGAAGTGTCACAACGGAATTATAATGTGATGTTAAGTTAATGTGTTTAATCGATTTTTTTTAGTACGAATTAACTATTTCTAAATGTAAAGAAGCTGTTCTTGTCTTTGTACCTTCCTGTTTACATACATGTCTTTGAGCTATTTTACTCCATCTTTTGTGGATTACTATCAAAAACTACGCCTCATTTTCTTCTTCTACGTCAACGTTGAAAGATTTTATGGTTATGTGGCCGTTTGTGTGTGTATGACGACCAAACGTTGTTCGAAAAACTTTACTTAAATTTTAGTAGAAAAAGTAAAAAAGTGAATATATAATAGCAAAAACTTCAGTACAATAAAAAATCGGGTAACAAAAAACCAGATATTAGCTTAATAAAGTTTTATTTATTTCAAATGGGAAAAGGAAGATGTTAGAAAGGTGTTTGAAACGAGAAAATCCAGGAGAAAAATATTTTGTGATGGTATATTAATTGATCGTTTTCATTTTATTTGTTACCAGGATTTTTTAGATCGATCATTTTTCTTTAAATTGTCAAACAATACGTCATGAAGTATAAATTTAAATCTGATATTTACATCATATGTTTGGCAGGAAACAACAAAATTCCTGAATCCAGTTACAGTTAATGGTTATAAAGCGTTTTTTTTTTTTAAATTTATCTTGCATTGGTTCAATCCTACATTCAAAAACTGTTGGGATAACATCTGACACCATTATTATGTGTAATTTATTGTTACCGACTTTAATCAATGCAATTGATTATTCGCAAGCCCCAATTAAAAATGGAGTATAGACGTTAGGCTCAATGATGACGGGATTATTAAAAGCATAACTTTTCTGGGGCGCAGAATAATGTCAGATTGTGCGTTAAATTGTGCTGGTTTTAGAACAAGGGATAAAAGCTCCTTTAGAATTCCGTGAATTATCTGCACTGCTCCACTTCGGAAAAGCTGCAAACAACATAAAATAACCATTTTACGCCTCTTTGCTTGTTTCTCGTTTGCTTTTGATATGTTCGAAATAGTTTTTTTAGAAATTGAAATGGTGCATCACGCCCGCTTACAATGACTGACTGAAAATTCGAAGATCTTCAAAGAACTGACGTTTGTAAGAAGTAAATGTGTACGAATTGCTTACCATTTACTTCTTGCGCAAAGGTAGAAGAGCGTTTTTTTATCAGCCTGAAAATTTTTTTGCCACCTTATTTAGAAGTAAATTATATTTTCCGTGCCTATAACTGGTTTATATGAAGAAAATTTTTATGTAAATATATGTGGACATGAAAATGAATGTATCAAGTAATTTTCCCGTGCACCGCAAACTAGTTCCAAACCTTTGTTTCTGCCTTTTTAGTACATTTAAGAAAAACAAGTAAGAAGTCATTTCGCCTATTAGAGTTTTTCGTTTGTTTTGGTACTAATACACCAAATATTACACATTATTTTCATGCAAAGCCTGAATATTAAAGAATTTAGAAAATTTAATTAACTTCCTAAAAATTTTATTATAGTGGCCTGCTTTCCATGATAATCCCTATACATCTTAGGCCTTAAAAAACAGGCCTAGTTGACCCAAATTCCCCACCAGCAAAAATTTTTGCGTTAAAATGCTACGGATCGATTTTCAACCTATGTGGTTCGTATTTGTTCTATTCAATTTGTATGTAAGATCATTACCATGAACAAAATTTCATCAAAAGAGATTGACAATTAGTTCTTTTTTGCATATCCCGGGAGTATGTATAAGCGATGATATCCAAAAATGGACTTATGTGGTCCAAATTCGGTAAGGTTGATTTCTATGTCAATTTACTATTATGAACTAATTTCCACAGTTAAGAATTATACAGCTTTACCTTATATTTCGCTTTCGTAGGACCGGTTGTATAAGAGGGGGAACAAAAAACGGCCCTTGCCGAATCAAATTTTTTAATACCAATTCAAAACGTCGAAGTAGTATTGCTCAGCGACTTTGGACTACCCTTTTTCAACGAATGTGATCAAAATATCTTCAAAATTGCGATCTGTGGGTTGAACACAAAAATACATGGGCTGACATTGCACGGACATACAAGTTTAGATCGATGTAGAAAATGACATAACATAACCTTAAGCCCCTCTGAGTGTTACGCGCGCCCGCATAAACTTGATATGCCCTATACCACAGGTGGTGTAGAACATAACAGTTATCGATTCTGATTTAGATCCTGACTAAAAATTTTTTCAATTATGTCATATTCGATATTAACTATCTTTTATTTACCTTCGCAACTGTATTTCATATTAACAATCTTCGCGATATTCAGAAATTTATGGATATCTGTATAGTTATAGGCTTTGACTACGTACTCTTGAGACATTGCAAATATTTGTTTTCCATCCCTTTCATACATAGAGAGCATGTGTTATGGGAGTTCTAAAGAAAGTTCGAATAAACCTGACAAAAGTTGTTATTACTATTTGTATATTATTTTGAATCTATTCTTAGACCAAAGAAAAAACAGGCACTATAGGAAAACTTAATTAATATAACAGATGGAGAGTAAGAAAGCTGAGTTCACATACAAGGCTATTCCAAAATATTTAAATAATGAGCAATCTAAAATATGTGCAAAATTTTTAGTGCATGTTAATCATATAAAAATATAACATTGAAATTTGTCACTGATATTTTGATGCCTCGATCGCTTAAAGAGTTATGGGGAAAAAATGTTATTTACCTTCTCAAAACAATGCTTATGAGTACATGAAATAGGTTCTGGCGAATATCTATACACATCCTTCTCGACAATGTCTTGACGGAACTAAAACTTGCAAACAAAAATATAAAAAAACTGCCGTTTTTACGAGGTTTTCTCAGTTGCTAATATGCGGTAGGCCCATAGACAGGTCACAATTGTTTTTTAACCTTAGTTTCTTGTCCCAAGCAACGCCTGGGTCAAATGTTAGTTTGCTGCCTTGAATTTTGCGGTTGTTGCTATTGTACAAAGATGCAAAACTGACCCATCTTTTACATATGAATGTTGTGCTTTCATTAAATATAACAGTCTTCAACTTATTTTTTCGTCTTTATATATATGTATTACGATGCATTTGGCAATTTTTTAGTTTCTCTATACTTACAGCGATTACTCAATTTCGAAAGTTAAGCTCGACATAGATGAAATTGATTTTTTGTGAATGGGTTTCAGAGTGATAATCAGTCATCACGCTCTAGTGGGATTAACTTCAAAGCCAAAAAATCCCGATAGCATTCTACTAGACAATTACTGCTTTACCTTTTTTTTTATGTTTAATCATCGTTGGTTTAAGAACTAACGGGCTTAGTCTTTAGTGTCACACATTTAGAACTAAAGTCTGACCTACTTAGTACACACATTTGCTTAAAACAAGTCTGTCAGTGTCAAATAATATAAGCATAAAGCGAAGAAATTTCCGTTTCCTCACCGTTCATGGTTAACGCATTGCTATTAACATTTTACTAAATTTGATTTTTTACCGAATAAACGTCATGCTCAATCGTTTGGAGAAAATAATAATCAATGCTTTAAACGATTTTTTGGTTTTTGGTGGTTATACAAAAATATACTTAAAAAGAAATCCATCGTGGTATAAAATATATGTTGATCTTGAACTAGTCCTGCGTAACGACTTGATTTTCACGAATAGCGAAATTCAGATTATTTCTTACCGATGTGCAGCCAGTCGCGAAAGGTTTACACTCTTTATTTGTATTCTGGCGGAAATACATAATCTTTTGTTGGCCCATTCTTATTGCACATATCGTGAACTTTTCTACAGGAATTCTGAATTAGCTGATAGTCAATCGAAGATTCAACGAGCGGTGAATGATTTGTGTTACGTACTTAACACAACGTTTTGGAATTTGGGTGTGTTTGCCAGCAGTAAAGGACTAATGGCAGGTTAATTTTTCTTTCAACTTCTGTTTGCGAGACTTTTTACAATGTATTTCAATAGGTTCTCTTCTTATTTATATGAGTAATGGCGATGTTATTAACTACAAAGCACCCTCCTTTGTGCCAACAAATTTTACCTATATTGATCGCCTTCAAACTACAGCGTCTTATATACTGTTAGTGGAAAAAGATACAGTATTTGAAAAAATGCTATCAACACGAATTTTTTCACTAATACACGAAAATATCATATTAGTAACCGGTCGTGGTTATCCCGATATTGCAAGCCGATGGATATTGCAACGTCTGCATACGGAACATAGATTAGCCATCTATATGTTAGCTGATGCTGATCCATGCGGCATTGAAATCATGCTTATCTATCGTCACGGTTCTCTGACGCAAGCTGCAAATGCGCTGCAATTAACCTGCCCTCATTTAAAATGGCTGGGCATTCATCCATCAGATCTTAAACATTTACGAATACCTACCGAACCTTTAGTATTAAACGATTGCAGGAAAATTGAGTTTCTCTTACGTAGAGAATATGTAGACAATGGCGTTCGTCAGGAATTGAATATTCTTAAATACTTTTGTCGTAAGGCAAAACTAGATAACATGTCTATTAACAAATTTCAAATGTTCGTGTGCGACTACATCATTAATAAAATCAAAAGGCAGATTGTAATATAATTAGGAGTAAAAGAATTAAGCTACTAAAACTAAGCGATTTTAAGTATGCTTACAGTGAATAAATAGCAAAACAATAACTTATTTATAGCTTTCATGTTGATATGAAGTGTCCTTCCATGTTCCCTTTCCATTTGTTTATTTCATTGCTACATTTTACATTTTACGTCTTTTATGGTGCCCTAAACACCGCAATGGAGTAGTTTATTCTCATTTCGGCGCAAACTTTATTGATGTTTCACTTCATATATATGTAAGTCTATGTACTCATCGCCACTTTTTCTTTTGCAGATAAGTTTTCGTTTTATTTGGCTTTTGTATATTTTTGGGGATGTCTACCTATTTATGGTGATGCGAATTTAACATGACAGGATAACAAACAGAAGAATAAGCAAAATTGAAATGCATACATGACCACTTAAACTACGAGGAAAATCAACAAAAACAACAGAGTTGTAAGCGTACCGATCTGGACTAAATCAGCATTACCATTGCAATCATTAGTTGAATGATTAAAAACAATATAAATATAACACAGATGTGTTTTTTGAACGAAAAAGTAGTTATTAACCTCTCCAAAAAATTTAATGAGGGTAATAGTAATAATCAGAAATTGTAAGTGGAACTTAACGTGTTAAGAGCCAATCATAACGCACATTTTAATTAACAATACCCCCGATTTCACTTTTATCCATTCGCGGCATTATTAAAAAGCCAGTAAATTCTTGAGACATACATCTTACGTACTTGAAGAAAGCATACTAAAATCCATCTTTAATATTTAACGCAATTTTTACAACGAAGTTGTGTGATACTGAAAAAGATAAGTTGTAAACGAATGCGTTAAAAATTATGTCAACAACAATGCGTACGACATTGCAAACAGTTCCTGAGTCCTTACCCTCCGACACTGTATCCAATGATGGTAATGCCACGTCAAAGCATACGTCTTCAGTCACTTTATCTGGACAGCACAGTACGGCGACAACTGTTACAAATGGCGCCTTAACTTCTACAACAACGAATGTTGTCTCTGCACAGCAGCAAATTATACAGCAGCAGGGTATGACAGCTTCACAAACCGCTCAGCAACAGCTTCTTCTTCATCAACACAATGTGAACAGCTCAGTACAGTCGGTACAGGATACACACCAGCAGCAGCAGCAACAACAACACGACTCTGCTAACGCTAACACCATTGTACTGCCTTCGTCTACTACCATTGTTAACACGGTAACCACAACCAATAATGCGACCAGCTGCATTTCGGCAATTCCCACTTCGTTAGCTAATGCCAACCAAACAACAGCAAATAATAGTCCGTCGTATTCACATCAACTTGCGATAGCAGCACCGCACCAACTTCAAGCTCAGTCGCATCACTGTCATGTTACTGGTAATTCCACAACAGATGTTCCGCGACCATCTGCTGTCAGTAATTCCAGTTCGGCCTCGTCAAATCATCACCATCATCATCATCACGGCGGTGGCGTTGTTGGTGCTCCAATTATTGGTAAAAATCTTGTTACTGGCCACACGAATTCGTCCACGGCGACAGCGGCTTTGAAGCAAAGAACTTCATCGTCAACTAAGGTATGTAAAATGGATTTATAATTTGCAATTATGATGATTGTATTCGAAAAACTAAAAAGACAGAGTTTGAATTTTTGTTATAATTTAGCGAGCGTATTCTTACACGTTAGTAGATGTAAATGTTAAAGGTATGTGCATAATGAATTTCTACACTTTAAAATTTGATATATTTTCTTGCTATTTCAAAAAGAAAAAAAGAAATTTTTCTGCGATTAGAAGACCTGTTTAAAGTCTATAATCTTTTTCCTGGTGGGCATATTCATCTTAATAATGTACAATTTGAATCCTCCTTTATTTCGTTTTCTTCGTGATAAAAGCGGTATTGGAAATTTCTTTCTTGTCTGGCAATAGCTTTGACAAATAATTTATTATACCCAAATAATAAATGATGATGGCTACACCATCCTTTTGCTGCATCAGCCTAAGAATATTTTAAGCGGATTTAACCAAATTTTTGTCTTTTTATAATATTTAAAACGCTATTGTCTTACCTATCACCGACCAGAGACCCCATAAAGTATACATATATTATATTTCTTTTGACTGCTGTAAAACTGAAACTATGTGCTCAAGTTTGACAGAAGCATTGGAAGTTCTTTCACTCAGGTGGCACAAGCATTGAGAATAGACTAAATCGGCGTAAGGTACCATGTAAGCTGAAAACACCTGTCTTCCGTAGGGGAAAAATTGGATTTTTACTCACTTCTCATAATCTATAGTAGATAAATCTATTAATGTGTTATTCTATCGGCGATGCTATCTTGCACAAAAATGAAAAAAGTCGACCTGGTCTATCTAAAATTTTTTTTTATTTGCGAAAATCTTTGGAGTGCCCAGTAGCAGAAAAGTAGATACATTTTTGACCGCTGTTAAGTTAGGGATGCTACCAAACATTTCAGTCTGTTCGTTTGCCCATTTATGTAGTATCTGTGTTAAATATTGTTACATTCGCAAAAATGAAAATATAACCTTCAAATTTGCATAGGAAGTTGAAAACTAAACCGGACATGTAGGATATTTCTACAATGCAACAAAAACTGGGAACAGTTTTGCTCTGCGTGCTTTTTGCTTCACAAAACTAGAAAAAAGCAGTTATGAACATCCAAAATTATAGAACATTGATTTTTTCGTCTGTTTGGTTTCTTTTTTTAGGATAAGGGCGATGGGTATTAAAGATTCGGCCATAGCAAACCACAATTTTCTTACTTCTAATAAGGGCTCCTTCAAAATATCACATTATTGTTTGTTTCCACGCTAAACTTTTTCGTTTGTAAACTCTTATTCGTGTTTGCAAATCCTACCAATTGTGGTACAGCACTTGTTAAGTTTACATGGCTGTAACGTTTAGAAAAACTTAAGACAAATTCGCCTTTTATTATACCGATGGAGTCGAGACGAATGGAGACGAATTATATTTTAACCCACTTTAAACCCATACAGCCATCCGTCCATGTATCTTTTTGCAACTTGCAGGTTGCTATTTGTCAGATATTTTGATAAAGTTCGCAACATTAACCTATTTTGGTTCATGGACGATCCTACCTAGTTTCCATTAAAACTAAGTTGGATCAACCCATTTTTACCATCACTCTCTAAATGAGGCATTCTTACTAAAAACAAGCGTTTTTATTGCTCTGTATAAGTAATTTGATACGAAAGTTAACTGTACTAAACTTGAAACATTATTTAAGGTTTTCTTGAAAACCGTATTTTTATATGGCAACGAAGTCAGGTTGTTAATACTTTACGACGAAAATAGTAGGGGAATAGGGCCAAAGGCTTCAATGAATATTATGCCTTCACATTGTCATAATTTTAATAATCGGCTTTGTCGGGCCATATCGCCTGCTTGCTTTTTTGATTAACGTTTTAACGCTATTTTTTGAAGCAAAAGGTAGCTTTGTTGCAAAGACTTAAAATAATCGTCCATATTTACTCTAACTTTTTTATTCTCACTACATATCTATGTATTGATAATGCACATGGTCTCTGTCTGTCCTCTGCTCCTCTACTTAAACTAACTTAAAAATGCAGAAATCAAATAAATGGAGACTACAGTTGCCATAATTGCAAAAAGGAAGTAATGAAATAAGTGGCGTTATCCGCAATGGGTAGTTTTAAAAACGTTTAACTTCCGCAATTCTAATTGCGTCAGAACATACTCTATATATATGTCACATTCGACACTCCATAACTTAGACAAAACTACTTGATAAAGAGTCATCATTCAAAAGGAAATGAAGTTTAGTTTGCATCATAAGACCCTTTCTTTATATGCATATAAAATCCAGCTCCAATAAAAGAAAGAAGCATAAAGAATGCGTTTTACTGGTGATTTTTTTTTAGATGGAAACAAAGGCAATAGAACAATAATATTCTAGGACGTTACTAAATATATAATTGCGGCGTTAAAAAAATCAGCTAATTTATGTTTTTGTGGAATTTGAGCGTAAAAAGTTCAAATTTTGACCAAAAAAATCTTAGTGGTAAAAATATTTTAAATTAACTTATCGAAAATTCCATGCGTATTGCGTTAAATTCTAATGATGTTGTTTAAGATTCGAATGGAAAGTATGGAAATTATAAGGGGTTGTGTTGCAGGCCACACTCGAATACTTTTCTCCTAATGAATCTTTGAAAAAACTTTCAAATGGACGCAAATATTTTCTAAAAAATTATTTTAGTATAGTAAAATAAAATTGGAGAAACAATAAACAAGTAAGAAAGTTATATTCGACAGGGGCCAAGTCTTATATACCCACTAACCTTTTATTACCTTTCAATGAGTGATGGGCGTGTTCGTTTATTTCCATTATCCGGATAACAAATCGTTACGGTGTGTAATAATGCTTTTTTGCTTAGAACAATAGAGTTGGCGTGCTCTTTGCCAACTTGGCCCATTTTTAATACCAACAACAAGAAATTCCAATGTTTCTGTCAAATTTTAAATCAATAGCTGTCGCGACCGGAGCTAGGAAAACATAGCAAAGAGACAGATAGGTATGGTTGGATCTATTCAGAATTTGACGCGGATCGCGAACATTACAGGGCCTCTGAAGCTTGGTTTTGGATGTTGGAAAAATGATGATAAAGTAAATTTACTTCCATTTCTCGCAATTAGGTATAAAAAGACAAAACTATATAGAAACTGACAAGAGGACAAAAGGAAAGAAAATCATGTGCCTAATACAGAGGCACATTTGCAACCGACGTGGATTCTGCCTAGGAGTGTACCACTAAACCAATGCAAACATACGGCAAGTTAGGAACCGAAACGAATACACTTTTTTTATGGGAATCATTGAGATACTCAATAGTAAATGAGTTCTACATTGAGATTGAGAACTTCTTGCATTTTTGAAGGTTCAACAACACAAGATTATATGAGCATCCTGTGATCAAGTTATGCCAATCCAACGTAATGAAGGCGAACAATAACATCCTAAGCCCAAAAGAGATCGCTGATGATTGTGTTACATAATGGAAATATCGGCTGATTTGGTAGATTTAAAAAAAAAAGTTAATTATCTATTACATAGGAAAACTCTGTAACTTGTGATTCATTGAGTCAAAAGCCTTAGTAATATCAGTGCAGACATGCTGTAGAATGAACAAGGCTAGGGGATTTTGAATTAAGGAATGTGCAAATGTAGTACCTCTGTTTGGATATGTAACTCGGAGATATTTT